CTTGGAGCGCATGCTCGGTGTCCGCCCACACTGCCACCGTGGGCTGAACGACCTCACGCAAGCTGACATCACAGCTATTCCAGACTTTGTTTCCAGGATACAGAGTTTAGCACATAGTGGCTACGTACAGATCTCGCACGAGTCTGCAGCTTGTCAATGCACTTCAGCAGCTGAGCACTTGAATGGACAAGTCATTCCTATCCGACGCTCCTGACTAGTTAGCCTCGCACTCTCTCTGTCGCCCATTACCGAGGCTTCATCTCCACAGGCAGTGAGCAAATGCAGCAAAATCGACGAAGGAGTGCCTTCCCGAAAGAAGACTTGTCGATGTTGATGTGTATGATGCCACCGGTGCCATCTTTCTCTGCAGCTTTTGCCTGGAACGGCAGGACTAGTAAATCACTGGTTGTGTCACAGGGAGTGAGAGTACCACAGACACGCATCGGCGCTGAGTTCGGATTGATGTCAATCTTCGTCCGGGTTTGCTCCGGTTGATTCTTGGAAGTACCTTTGGTGATAGCATCTTGCATGTGCCTCGGAGACCCTCAAAGGCGCGAACTGCGGCGCAGCACATGTCTATCTAGAGTTTGCAGCAACGTCGAGGTTGAGTGTTACACATATGACCGTTGTGCCCAGAACAGCGATTTCGGGAATGATTCTCTACTGTGCTACAAGGGAGGGCGCAACGCGCCCGCAGCATTCACGTTACGTTCGCAATCCCACGCCGTCTACTTGGCATCGAACTACCCGTCGAAGCTCGTGCCCGAAGCTCAAATTATTGCCCCGGAACGGGTCACAAGGAAGATGCCGCAGCGGGAAATCCTAACATGTGGAGCCCCTCCCAGCACCGTGCGAGAACGTGCGCGCAGTTCATCAGAAGCCCGGCCTTCGGGGCATACTTGGCCACAATGCCAGTGGTACGGTCGTCGAACCTGCTGCCTGGTAAGAGCTCCACAATGCGTGCAGCGGCTCCACGGCTCCCCAGCTCATGCAAAGTCAAGGATGTAAGGCGAAGGCCTACGGCAATGATGCAGTCAGAGTTCTGTATCGCGAAGTTGGCATAGGCCGCCCTGGCCATCATGCAAGAAGTTCAGGCGGAAGCAGTCTTTGATCATGCAAAGCAAACTGACAGCTGAGGAGGCCACCCGTGCATGCCAAGCATGTGCATAGACAGAGGCTCGCGCTCGTCGAAGATGCCCATTCCATGGCACTGCAGTGCTGTGCATTGCTGCTCATGAACTCTGGCGCACTGCAAGGTGCAAGCACTGGGCTTCCAGCTGTCGTCGTCACCGGTATATTGGCCTTCTTCGCCAACTGGGTCAAAATCTCCGGACAGTGGCTGGCACCTCAGACTTGCAGGAAGACATGTGCTGTCTTCCACCTTGGATTTAAGGCAGCGGCCTTGACCTACATACAGGATGGGACGCTTTGCCTTGTTTATGAGCTCGGCTGCCTGGCCACCGTGAGCACATGAGGATGCAATCAGAGCAAACCCGAGCTGTACGAAGACAACTTCAAGGCAAAGCAGGATTACGGAAGGCGAGGCCCAAGTGGAATGGCAACATGCATCAAAGCCAGAACAAAACCCAACAACCACGAACAACCTCACAACTATAAGTGTGTGGCACTACTGCAGCGCTATGTAGACCTTATTTGCGACATGTATTTGCCACAATAAACGATTCGGATCCGTCCCAAGTCTGCATGCAGCTTCACCCGACAATCCGAGCCTTCTGCACTGCTCCCATGTCCAACATCGGGGGCGCGTCCGCGGTCAAAGTTGCAGCCTTTTTGAAGATTGCTTCTGGAACCTGCGCCTTCATTGAAACGATGTCCTGCCAACACGAGTCGCGCATATTGTGTGTCATGAGCTCTTCCTTTCTTGCTCCGCGGGCCACGCTCTCCTTCGGCAAATCGATGTGGCAAGGCCCCGGTCGGCCGGAAGATGCGATGCGAAATGCCTGTGAAGGGGCTAGGAAGCAAGAGTCCAAACTTTGCGATCAGAATCGTCTTCCAAGCTTTTCTGCAGCCTATAGAGATGGACCCTAAACACATGCAGCCATTGTTGTGCCACTACGTGAATGGACCGGCTTGATTAGTCAGCTACCTGCAGTCATGGCATCCCGGTCCCTGTTGAAATGCTTTGTGCGTCTCTTCGCATCGGAGGCTCAGAAGTGAACGTGAAAAACACGAAGGGCAAAAACAAAAGAAACACCCGAAAAGTAAGCGGCGACAAGAAGTGCGAACAACTGAACGGCGGCACCGAAGGAAGCTGATAGCATCTCTTTGAAGTCTCAACGCCCATGTGACGAAGACAAGCGCCACCCTTCCAGCGACCGGACCCCTCGTAGAGGGCTGCCTGAGGCCCAAAATACAAAGATTACGTGTTGGACTACTGCTTCATGCCTTAGGGCTCAGGCGAAAGTGCTCGAAAGTTTACAGTAGCTAACAAAGCTAACACAACGAATCGGCCTTTCTCGTGGCCTAAACCCTAAATCCACAGAAGCGGCTAGCCAACTTGCCCACTCGCGGCTTCCTCTCGGGCGCTGACAATATTCTCACACACACTCCTAACACTTGTCTTCGCACACGTTGCTCAGGCTTTCTCAACAGCTAGTACTCGTACTAGTACTAGCACGTGTCCCCGTACTAGTATGTAGTACTTAGTACTGGGTACCGATTACTTTCTGCTCAGTACCTAGTTCTTGGTAGTGGCAAGCCTCATTCTTGCTCTCGTCCTCGTCTTCGTCGTCGTCGCAGTTTCAGTAGCCGTAGCAGTGTAGCAGTGTAGCAGTGTAGCAGTGTAGCAGTGTAGCAGTGCAGCAGTGTAGCAGTGCAGCAGTGTAGCAGTGCAGCAGTGTAGCAGTGTGGCAGTGTGGCAGTGTGGTAGTGTGGTGTGGCAGGGTGGCAGGGTGGCAGGGTGGCAGGGTGGCAGTGTAGCAGGGTAGCAGGGTAGCAGGGTAGCAGGAGCACTAGCAAAGGCAGGCACTCGCCAGCACTAGCCAGCACTAGCAGTAGGAGAGTAGGAGAGCAGGAGAGCAGAAGACCGGGAGAGGAGGAGACTAGGAGACTACGAGAGTAGGAGTAGCAACTAGTAGCAGTAGCAGCAGTAGCAGTCGTCGTGGCAGTACTAGTAGTAGTAGTAGTAGTAGTAGTAGTAGTAACAGCAGGAGCAGCACTTCCAGTAGTAGTGGTGGTGGTAGTAGTGGTAGTAGCAGAAGTAACCGTGAAAAGCTCGAAAAGTGCGAAAACACACACAAAGTGCGAGAAACACGAAAAGCCAAGAGCGCAACCGACGCAAAACATGCGAAACTTGCGTTGTTTTCACCTGTTGCATGTTACGTCGTGCAACGTTCATCGATCGTGGAAGCATCCATTACAGGATGCATCCGCTTGCACAATCCTGCAGCTGCACACCGACTGGGAGCTTCTCTGGCCTCGTTGACAGCCCAAGGAAGCTGATTGAAGTCGAGGCAAACCTGAAAGCGCTCTCCAAAATTGCACAAGGTGGTTTGGGTAAGAACGAACCCCTGAGGCTGCTTCGTAGTTCCATTTGGTGCAGGATCGCGTAATTTCAGTCGCAGGACACTCCTGTGTGCCAAGCTTCAACTGTCGCCCTGGACTACGGCTATCAGCCAGACAAGACATGCAAAGACAACCTTTTCCTGCTTCTGGCGAGTCAGCAGTTAGCTGTCCTCATGCTCTCAGAGGCCTTAAGATCCTACGACGTGCACAGGCACGAAAAGCTACTCCACACTACAATCGAGATGCAGCAAAAGCGCCTATAACTTTCCTGCTGGCAGCGACTATCGTCGGCAAAACCCCACGAAACGCTCCGCGCACGTCAAGAAATTAACACCGTTGTCGGGAAGTCTGCGTCTTAAACGGCTCGAGGCGGTTGGTGCGATGGTGCCAGCCTCGTCAACGACGTGTTGCGCGTGCTAAATAGAAAGTTTCCTTGGGCCCCGGCCGGATGCCGGTAACGGGCACATTGGCAGGCGAAAACCCAAAGGTAGCTTGTTGTGGTGGGGAGAAGATCCGCTGCGGTAGCGAGGCCAGCTGCATGGGCAGCGGAGCCTCACCCAAACGAATGGACGGATGGAGTCAAACAAAAAACAGCAACAGACGTCAAAGGAGGAGGTCGGAGAAAAGAAGAACCAAAGACAGAGATGCCAAGCAGGGGCGAGAAAGAGAGAGAGAGAGAGAGCGACGGAGAGCGAGCGAGCGAGCGAGCGAGAGTGATTTCACAGTACAGACGGCAGCTGGATCCCAGGAAAGGTGGGCATGTCCGGAGCGATGGGCAACTCTTGTGATGCGTTCGACACAAAAGGATGCTGGACCCCCAAACACAGTGTCAGCAGGCCCTGAGTTTACAAAGGCTCTACAAGTAATGGTTCTCAAATGATTTGAGACGCAATAGAACATGCCCACCATGCGCGACTTCAGCCTTACATGTAGCTTCCTGAATGTACGTGTTTCTCCACAGGCTCCAACCGTCATATCAGCTGCGGTTCTCGCTGAGAGTTGCGAAACCCGCGGGAGTGAATGTCAAAATGTGGCGATGCTTAGCTTTCTGTGACCAGACCACAAAAGGGCATGAAACAACAATGATGTATAATTGCTTGTGTCATCCTTCCTACTCCCCTATGCAGCTCTTTGCCCTGAAAGAAAAGAGCGGAGTTCTTTCTTCCAACAAAAGCGGAGGAACGAGAGACAAAGGACATGTGGAGGGAGGATCACAGGTGGGAGCAAGGTGCACGAGGCCGCATTGACCTCTGGAGCTTGACTGGACACCGTCGCAGTTAAGCCAAGGATTACGACTGACAGCTGATGTAATTGGACGATGCCTGCGCCGTTTTGGAAGACGGGCTGTGTGTCTGCCTGCAGCGGGCGAGGCAGCAAGCCACTGTATGAGGGACTCGACCAGCCTCGCCAGCGAACTATCTGTGCCGCGTCGGGGCGCATCTGTCAGGGCAATGCAGTTCACGCTGTCTCTCCTCTCGATAGTTGTCTTTTTTCCTACAAGGCAAGCGGTTTTCTGTTATCTGACTCTTTCTTCCGCAAGGTCTGCTGACAGGAGAGCGACCCCTGCCCCCACGTCAGTGTGCAGACTTAGACGCCTGGAGGAATGGAAAAAAAGGGCTGCATCCCCTATGGTTGCAATAGAGACGGAACAGTTGAGCCCCAAAAAAATCAGCTGCCCTCCCACACGCAACCTAGAGGCGAAAAACATGCTGTAACTGTGTGGATTTGTTACATTAGCAAGATTGGACAAGAGTTCAGGAAGCCAACTTGGGCTTCCCAAGTTGCTCAGACTGGCTGTAAACTTCTCTCGGTTTGACGTCTTTAACAAAGTCGAAAAGGGTTACCCCTGGGTCTGAGGTTGCCGAGTCCTCAAATGGGATTTTCCGGTTCTTCCCAGCCAGTCACTAACTCCGCTGCCTTCGGTTCACGTCTTGTCGCGGCTCTATCCGTTTTTAACTTCCTGTCAGTGTGCTCTTCTTCCTGTATGCCAAGCTATCTTCTTGTTTATCCTGGCTCGATCGGTCCTTTCCGTTCCTGCTTTCTCTGTCCTTCCGTTCTTTCCCTCCTCCTCTCCGTGCAACTTTGAGACATGGCCTTTTCATGGTCTATACATATATATATATATATATAAATATACAGATATATATAAATAGATAGATATACATATACAAAGGTATGTATGCATGTATGTCTGTGTGTATGTATGTATGCATGTATGCATGCATGTATGTATGAATGTATGTATGTCTGTATGTATGGGCTAATGTGATGTAATGTAGTGTAATGCAATGTAAGGTATGTACGTGTGTATCTATATAAGTATGCATTGACACACACGCATAGATATGTTCATGTACTCATTTGTTCATTTACTCAAACGCTACTTTTCGCTTGCATGTGAATGTATATGTATATTTACGTATCCATGCATTCGTTTGTTTACATTTAAACTTGTGTTTGTATCTATGTACTTATCTACTTGTACATGTATACATTCTCATATTTGCTTATATACCTACGGAACATTACTGGTTTATAGAGTCATAGTTTATCCTTCCTTCCATCTCCGAAACCCTCCTCCGCCCCCTCACAAGGCATTTTGAGCTGGTTTTATATTAAACTGTATACCTTCAGCAGTGTCAGAAACTGGTCATGGCTTCACGCAGTGGCTTGGAAGTGACGTTCGTGTTTCTTCGACAAGGGCCTCGCACTACAGCAATGTGGACATGTCCTGCAGTTGGAAACTGCTTACCTACCAAAAATTCGTAAGCAGCTGCTCAAGCATAGAAAAACCGACCGTAAAAAACATTTTTTAAATATTGAAAATGTAGCAGAAACATCACCACGCCTGGAGTAAGTTACCAGCCTGGATGGATTTGGGGGGTTAGGATAGTTTCGTCGCGGGGTGCAGGAGGGGTTGGTAAACATGCAGATTTTCGGGCTGCCTCGGCATGGTCGTTGCTTGCTGGCAGCTTCGCTGCTTTCTGGAAACTCTGCTCACAAAGCGCTGGAACACTCTGCGTGTCGATCCCCTCAGACTGGGGCTTGCTAAACACCCCGTTGGGGGCTTTGGCCAACCTCCGTTCGGCTTGAGAATGTTGGTTCGCAAGCTCCCTTTCTCGGCTCGGGTGGTTTACTAAAACCCCTTCTCGGCTCGAAAAGGAGGGCTTGTTAAACCCTCTTCTCGGCCCCAAAATGAGGGCTTTTGCTAAAGCTGCATTCCCTGCTCGAAGATAGGGTTTGGCAACCCCAGCTTTCTCGGCTCGGGGGTTAAGGAGGGTTCTCAAGTTTTGCTCCTCTTAAACCCCAAAACCTCTCAAGCCCTGGTCTTCGCTTCGGGGGATAGGAGGATCCCAGAGAGCTCTGTGTCCTGGCTCTGCAGTTCACTCTACAACGACTGGGTGATCCACATCGTTTTCCGGAGCAAGGCTCCGTAAATGTGGTTTGGGCTTTGAGGTCTGTCAATATAATTTACTGTGTGATTACCGAAGGAATTGATCACTTGAATAAGTCCCTAACAGCGGGGTGAGTACTGCAAAGAATGTAGATTTCAAGCTATTCTCCTGGTTGTTGGGGGGTTCGCGGCAAGCGAATGCTCCGATTTGTTCCTGGGCACCCCTGATCATGATCGAAGGGATCCGCCTCACAGCTTCTAGTGCATGTTGGGAATCTTGTAGAAATGAATGCCACTTTTGCGGATTCGACCAGTTCGGGCAGACATGAGACGGAGCAAAGACCCAACGGGATGTGTGCGCAGGAAGCAGCACCTCTGTAAAATGAGGGGTCCGACCCCCCAACTTGTATAAAACAAACCGCTTTCTACGGACCCGAGGGCGTCCATTCTATAGAGGTAAAGAGTTCGGGTATGATGCTTCCGGGTTTAGGGGTTTCAGGTTTTGGTTTTCTTGGTTTAGGGATTCTCGGTTCAGGGGTTTAACGATTTTGGATATAGGGCTTCTGGGTTTAAGGTTTCTGGGTTTCTGGATTCAGATGTTTAGGGTTTCTGGGTGTCGGCTCTCGGGGTACAGGGTTTCTGCGTTGGGGGGTTTACGGTTTGTGGGTTCTGCGTTTTTTGGGTTGAGGGGTTTCAGGTTTATGGGTTTGGGGTTTCGGCGTTCAGGGTTTCTGGAATTACTGCGGGATATAGGGGTTCAGGGTTTCTGGGTTCAGGGGCTCTTCAAGGTTTCTGGGTTTCAGTTTCTTGATGTTTCTGGGTTTGGGCGTGGAGGGTTTCAGGGTTTAGGGTTTCTGGATGTAGGGTTTGTACCAGTCGCTAACACACCCATTTTCGCTGAGAACATGACACCACCTCAGGCATTAGACGGGTCTGCAAGGCTTGTTAAGGCCTTGCCCCTCCCCCCGTGACCCTCACAAGGCATTCTTTCACAGGGTGATCTTGTGAAATTAACTTATAGTTGTATAGTTTTATGTTTACTTTTCCACTTATACATGTGTCTTTACTCATTTCTATGCTTATCTTTCATGTATTTATCTACTCACATATCGATGTGCGTGTTAATCTGTCTAGTTCTTCTGTCATTAATATATTCCTCACTTATATTGGCATGTACTTGCATTTGCTATTGTTGTAGGTCTACATTCATATTCACACTTGTAATCATCTATTTATTTACTTTCTGACTTACATATGTAGCTTTATATCTGCGTTTTCTGCTTGTTGTATACATAGGCTAATGTTTATCTGCTATGTATGTATGCTGGCCTATTGTTTGACAGCATGTCCATTTGTTCATTTGCTTAGCTGTTCACAAACTCATGTCATGTCTTCCCCTACTCCGTTCGAGATAAAATTGGTTTCTGCAGCGTGCTCAGGTGCGCCATGCTCTGCTGAAACAACTCGGAGCATGCTTTGCAACATGTGGCACCTTTCCGACTTCTTGAGGATGCCATTCGAGCTTCAACTCCTGGCGGCTGTGCAATGCATCCCCCGCCCCACCCCCCCCCCCCGCCCAGGCAACGATGCTCAGCTGTCCTACTTGATACAAGCCCAGGACTTCTCGAGAGATGTCAAAAGCATGAGAGAACATCTTGCCAGTAGGCGTTCGAGCCTTTTCTTCGCGCATTCGAACAGACGCATATGTATATATATATATATATATATGTATGTATTTATGTGTATACATATATATATATATATATGTGCGCTGATATGAGCTTCAGATGGCCAAGTAAGCAACGGCACCAAGCTCGTGTCCGCATGTTGCACTTCACCGCCTCACACGGCCCTGTCAAACTATTGGTCGGGGACTACCGGAACTTGCATCCCAAACTAGCACATTGACTTGCTGCACTGCTGCAGGCCTCAACTCGAACACTCCGAAACACCCCGAACATTCGCTCGCTTGATCCGACAACGAAGTGTCACAACGACCTTCGCCAAAGTGCAGAAGCAAGTCCACCAAACAGTAAATGACTACACTTCTATCGCCACGCCATCTTAAAAAGATGCTGCTCGTGTCCTGCCATGTGCTCCTCCTCAGCAAGGTCCTGCTCAGGACGCAGAGGGGCACACTTGAGGGGAACCAGTCGGAACACATCGAACTGAGACCGCATGAGCCTGATAGTCAATGATGCAAAATGCCAGGCAAAAGAGCGTGAGGATGACCAACGCCAGGAGAATCCCGTATGGCACCAGCCTGCTATCGCAGTTGCATAGACAGACAAACAACGCGCAATGTTCCGGAAGATTGATCAGGGAGTCGCCCACTCCAGCGAATGGAACGGTGCTCTGCGATTGAGCTGTGCACTCCATCGCGGGGCCCCCACACCAATCCCCTCAAAATCGTCGATGTTGTCGCACATTAGCAGGAATTGTGTGCAATGTTCTGCGCAGCGTCCAGGAACGGCAGTTGCAAGATTCAGTCAGTCATACGTCCCACGGCGCGTGGACAGATATGGCTTGACGCACCGTTCGATACCAGATAGTGGGGTCATGCACAAGTCTGGTTGCTTCACGGTGGCCGCCCAAACAATCGAAAACTCTACTGCTTACTTCAGAAACCCCTTCACGTCTACTCGCCCCACGTACCTGCTGGTAGCAGGCGGCATGAACGCAGATACGTGCAAAGGGTGGTCCAGTGGAGATCTTTAGACCTTCCCAAACACAAGCAGCTGGCATTGTACGAGCATGACTGAAGCGGCATTGCAGCGTGTGCGATGGTAAAACAGCCGTGTTTGGAATCCAGAACTCATTTGCAGCTTCGCATGAGGCTGCATGGCTGCATGTCTTTTCCGGTGCCGGGTGCTGCCCATGCATGACTTGCCAGTGCCAGCTTGACTCGGCACAGTCCGATAAGAAGAAAATATACCGGAGCAGAAGAGAAGTTTCCATCATCAGAGTAGTCAGCATGTCAATCATGCATCTGCCGCCCACCATTCCCTGCTCTCTTTTGCAATTGCATGCAATAACACCGAAGGTGGTCTTCAGCCGCTGCCGCAAAAACCATTGACTTATCTTACAGAATGCGTGAGGCTGAGCCCCGCACCGCCCCATCTTGTTGTCTAGGCCAGACCGATCTGGCACCGTGAAGGCCGGACGACTCCAGAGGAGGGTGCGATGACACCAAACTAGGGAGTACGACGAAGGAAACTCCGGCTGATCGAGAAATTGTATGAGGCATCACGAAGGCAAACCCGCCGCGCAAAGCACACTTCTGTTCCAGACCATCCGTCACAGGAGTTCTACTTCCGCAAAGAGAAGGAACAGGTAGAGTGCTGCTTTTGCCGCCTCCAAGCAGCATACTCCCCCAAAGGATCTGGATGGTCCTTGCCTCAGAATCGCCACATGAATCGCTGCTGGTGAAACTGGTGTACATGAGCAACTGAGCTGTGCACGCAGAGCAGCGCGAAACTCCGGCTGGCTTCGGGGCGGACCTGCAGTTGCTCGCTGCTACTACGAGCGCGCAAGGCATAAGAGTGTAAGTTCAGTGTCAATGCTTCTCAAGCAGCCCAGATGCAGAGGTGTTGGATGTACTCGCCCGCCAGAATCCTTCTGGCGTACTCGCTGGTCTTGCTGGCACCACCCTCGAGCGTCAAAGGATATTGCACAGAACTGTACCTGTCGGCATTGCATGGCAACAGAGAAGCTGGCAAACAAGACCACACGTTGAAGCCCCGGGCACGTGGGGTCTTCGACTCGGCATCCGTCTTCCCCGTACCTCGTAAGCCGACTCAAGGTGACGGATGGGAGCACCGAAAATTCTGCATCTGCGCACTGCCAGTACTGACAGAGAATGTCCGAATAGCACACATTCCTCCGGCATAGGGGAGGGGAGCTTTACATCGGACACGAACTTTCTGCAGGGACTGCAAGCGGCCTGCATCTTTCGATGTTTGTGCTCTGGTCATCACTGTCCAGCTTTCCGATTGGGCGGAGACCATGCACTTCAATACCACTCATCTGCCTCATGACCTTGAGATAGTTTAAAGGTATGCGGCCAAGCAGTCATGCAGCAAAATCTGCATGGTTCGCTTGGAATTGCTTTGCGGAGCTTGGCGTTTGGCTCGAATGCTGCCGTGCTGGATCCGCTGCCTGGCTGCTTTCTTGCCATTGCCAGAGAGCAGCAGTAGAATCCCGCGCAAAATGCTGAGCTCACAACCCTCCCGAAAACTGCACCGTGTTATACCCGTTGCGGCTTTCGCAGTGGTGACCCTGTGGCAGCATGGCAGCATGGCCCCGGCCCGCACGCTGGACGACTGGGGGAAATAGATTTCAAGTTTGCGACACAACTGTTTCGCGGTGTATCACGTGCTAAGGGGCAAAATGTTGCAGTGGACTGCACAACCTCTGTGTGATTTCGACCTATTTTGCCTTGACTTGTTTGCCTGCTGCGGCCTAGTCCAAGCATCTTTGCAAAGGCAACACTACAGCTTGCCGCCTGGCCCTGCCAACAGCCACCATTCATCTGACCAGGATTGAACTGCCACACTGAGCACCTCTGCAAAGCAGAAAAAGGCGCACACAACTTCTGCTACCATCACAGGCACCGGAGCATGTCGTCTACAAGTCTGGGCTTGTGTTATGTATCCGGGTTTGAGCCGTTGAACCTGTTGCAGCATTGCTGCAGCATCGAAGCCGGGGGGTCAGGAGCCTTTAGCACCCCGAAAGCACAGCCGAAAGACGGGTGAAATTGAGGTAACATGAGATATCATGAGAGAATGTCTCGGCATTTGGAAGGCTGCAGGCCCGGCCTTGGATCGTTCAAGCAGGAATTTCGGCACGTCGTCAATGTAGTCGCTTGAACAAGCAGTAGACCAACGCACCTCAGCCGCTGGCCCACGCCGCGGTCTTAAGCCAAAGCAAGACAGAGAGTGGTGGGTCTCAGGTTGTCTTGGACGCCAACTGTCCTGGCCAACCATGCTCCATATCTCGGAGCACCTTCGACGACATGACATCGTCTATGCCAAACACTGTGAACATGAAACACCAACACCAGCCTTGGATTGCCAACACATAGACAGCTTTCCATGCTTGACCTTTGAGGCATCTCAAGAATGCAGGACTTCTATGCAATTCATCCCATCTCGGGCTAAGGATACAGCCGACCATGCGGCAAGCGATGCAGGCTGGTGGCCAGTGGGCCATGCCTCAACAGAACGCTCCAAGAGACCAAAGCGGTCTGCCGCAGTCTGCCGCGAGCCTGATTGCTCTCCTCACGTCAAGAGATGCTGCTGTCTTCTGTACTGTACAATGTACCGTGGTCAACGACTGTCCTCTTGAGTCTGTGCCGGCCATTCGGGTCCAGGTACATTACGAGGATCACCCTCAACTCGAAGATCAGTTTCATCACCTAATGTTAGGCCATCACAGTAGTTGAAGCACAACATCGGTTTGTCGCATGTTGTCGAGTTGAAGTAAGGACCTCCTGCAAACCCCGTTTTGCTGGCAGCGTGTGAGTTTGAAAGCTATCCCGTCAGATCTCTGAAGCCGTCGCAATTAAGCTGAGCACTTTGCATCTTGGACAGGCCAGCGACCTCCTCTGCTGTTCTGAACTTCACCTGCGTTGCAATTCCGGCAACTTTAACCCCACTGTCTGCCACTGGCCATGGCCTGGGCTTCTTTCCGCAGGCTTTCAGCATCTTGGCTGAAACTGGGCAGGCGCGAGTGGGTTGGTGCAAACTGCAGCCGCCGGATGCGAGGTACATCCAGGCCGAAATCGAACCAGCCGTCCTTTGTCCTTAGAAGGAAGCGGCGACGGAGCTCGCAAAAGGATTTCCGAAGGTAGCATGAGATGTGCACCGAATTTCACACGAAAGGAATACCAGATCACGAGAACCTCAACCGTCGTCTTTGCGCCGCAAACAATAAGAAGTTGATCAGCGAGCGATCCATGCTTGATTCTTGCATTCTAGATCTCGCGGTGTCACATCCCCCTAAACCCCTAAACCCTAAACCCTAAACCCCTAAACCCTAAACCCTAAGTCCCAAACCCGAAACCCTAAACCCAAAACTGAGGCCCTGTCTCTGTGAGCCGAGGCAGGAGCAGCAGAGGGAGGACCCTTCCAAAGAAGCTGCCCGTGCCCGGCACCATGAGGACACCGGCTCATTCTACTATCTTAATAATAACATTTTTAGTATGACTATTTGTGTTATTATTGTTGTTATTACTGCTGCTGTTTGTATTGTAGTTAGTAGTAGTGTAGTAGTAGTAGTAGTAGTAGTAGTAGTAGTAGTAGTAGTAGTAGTAGTAGTAGTAGTAGTAGTAGTACTAGTAGTAGTAGTAGTAGTAGTAGTAGTAGAAGCAGTAGTAGGAGTAGTAGTAGTAGTAGCAGCAGTATAGTAGTAGTAGTAGTACTAGTAGTAGTAGTAGTAGTAGTAGTAGTAGTAGTAGTAGTAGTAGTAGTAGTAGTATTTGCTTTATTATTGTCTTCAGCTTTCTGGGAGGCTACATGCTCTCTGCTCTCTCATCCTCGCTCCCTAAAGTCCTAAAGCACACTCATTGTGGAGATGCTGCATGGCTGCCAGTGCACAGGGATCTGGAAAGCAAAATGCGAAAGAAGCAGGTGACATCAGCATGTGAAGAAAGCCACAAGCTTCATGTCCTGAAAAGCGTCAGTGCCCATTGCACCAGTAGGAACTTGGCCAGAGAAGATGACCATGGGAACACCATCCGTCAGAGCATCCTCCCAAGCTGCGTGTCAACAATTCCGATGTCAGTCAACTTGGCTGAGTGTGCTGACGCATAGACTCCTTGACGCATGGACTCCTAGACGTGTTTACATAGTGTGGTCACCTCTCACAACATGAACTTGGTCAACTTGGCTGAGTGTGCCGATGCATAGACTCCTAGACGTGTTTACATAGTGTGGTCACCTCTCACAACATGAACTTGGTCAACTTGGCTGAGTCTGCTGACGCATAGACTCCTAGACGTGTTTACATAGTGTGGTCACCTCTCACAACATGAAATTGGTCAACTTGGCTGAGTGTGCCGACGCATAGACTCCTAGACGTGTTTACATAGTGTGGTCGCCTCTCACAACATGAACTTGGTCAACTTGGCTGAGTGTGCCGACGCATAGAGTCCTAGACGTGTTTACATAGTGTGGTCACCTCTCACAACATGAACTTGGTCAACTTGGCTGAGTGTGCTGACGCATAGACTCCTAGACGTGTTTACATAGTGTGGTCACCTCTCACAACATGAACTTGGTCAACTTGGCTGAGTGTGCCGACGCATAGACTCCTAGACGTGTTTACATAGTGTGGTCACCTCTCACAACATGAACTTGGTCAACTTGGCTGAGTGTGCCGACGCATAGACTCCTAGACGTGTTTACATAGTGTGGTCGCCTCTCACAACATGAACTTGGTCAACTTGGCTGAGTGTGCCGACGCATAGACTCCTAGACGTGTTTACATAGTGTGGTCACCTCTCACAACATGAACTTGGTCAACTTGGCTGAGTGTGCCGACGCATAGACTCCTAGACGTGTTTACCTAGTGTGGTCACCTGTGTTCAATGTTGTTTACATAGTGTGGTCACGTCTCACAACATGAACTTGGTCAACTTGGCTGAGTGTGCCGACGCATAGACTCCTAGACGTGTTTACATAGTGTGGTCACCTCTCACAACATGAATTTGGTCAACTTGGCTGAGTGTGCCGACGCATAGACTCCTAGACGTGTTTACATTGTGTGGTCACCTCTCACAACATGAACTTGGTCAACTTGGATGAGTGTGCCGACGCATAGACTCCTAGACGTGTTTACATAGTGTGGTCACCTCTCACAACATGAACTTGGTCAACTTGGCTGAGTGTGCCGACGCATAGACTCCTAGACGTGTTTACATAGTGTGGTCACCTCTCACAACATGAACTTGGTCAACTTGTCTGAGTGTGCCGACGCATAGACTCCTAGACGTGTTTACATAGTGTGGTCGCCTCTCACAACATGAACTTGGTCAACTTGGCTGAGTGTGCCGATGCATAGACTCCTAGACGTGTTTACATAGTGTGGTCACCTCTCACAACATGAACTTGGTCAACTTGGCTGAGTGTGCCGACGCATAGACTCCTAGACGTGTTTACATAGTGTGGTCACCTCTCACAACATGAACTTGGTCAACTTGGCTGAGTGTGCCGACGCATAGACTCCTAGACGTGTTTACATAGTGTGGTCACCTCTCACAACATGAACTTGGTCAACTTGGCTGAGTGTGCCGACGCATAGACTCCTAGACGTATTTATATAGTGTGGTCACCTCTCACAACATGAACTTGGTCAACTTGGCTGAGTGTGCCGACGCACAGACTCCTAGACGTGTTTACATAGTGTGGTCACCTCTCACAGCATGAACTTGGTCAACTTGGCTGAGTGTGCCGATGCATAGACTCCTAGACGTGTTTACATAGTGTGGTCACCTCTCACAACATGAACTTGGTCAACTTGGCTGAGTGTGCCGACGCATAGACTCCTAGACGTGTTTACATAGTGTGGTCACCTCTCACAACATGAACTTGGTCAACTTGGCTGAGTGTGCCGACGCATAGACTCCTAGACGTGTTCACAAAGTGTGGGGTCACCTCTCACAACATGAACTTGGTCAACTTGGATGAGTGTGCCGACGCATAGACTCCTAGACGTGTTTACATTGTGTGCTCACCTCTCAAAACATGAATTTCGTCAACTTGGCTGAGTGTGCCGACGCATAGACTCCTAGACGTGTTTACATAGTGTGGTCACCTCTCACAACATGAACTTGGTCAACTTGGCTGAGTGTGCCGACGCATAGACGTGTTTACATAGTGTGGTCACCTCTCACAACATGAACTTGGTCAACTTGGCTGAGTGTGCCGACGCATAGACTCCTAGACGTGTTTACATAGTGTGGTCACCTCTCACAACATGAACTTGGTCAACTTGGCTGAGTCTGCTGACGCATAGACTCCTAGACGTGTTTACATTGTGTGGTCACCTCACACAATTTGAACTTGGTGCTCTTGCTTCACCTGTGTTGCTTGGGACACCTGTTTCACAAGAACAATCTGCTCAATCCGTGCACCGACATATTCGCACGTTGCAGAGCCGGTCTGTGCCCACACATACAATGTTCCTGTGCAGAACGGAAGAACAGGTGGCTCACCGGTCCGGTGGTGTTCCCCTTGATGTTCCAATGCTCTCCGGTGCGGTTGAAACCCGTAGTTGCCGTTGTTGTTGAGATCGACTCTGTGCACATGACTATCTCGATCTTCATTCAGAAGCTTCTCCCCGTACATTACAATGCCCTTCGCCTGCATGGGAGTCACGAGGTTCGTCAATCCAGGGCCGCTGGTCACAATGGCCTTGGATGAGGCAAGGAAGCACTCTGAGGGGAGTTGTGTGCACAGCTGCCTGAGGCCTGCACCACTCCGAACTTGCCTGTGGACTTCGCATAAGCCGCTGCTGAGTGACCGGAGCACCTGGGCTCAGAACGCAAAAAGATGTCCAGCCTGGCGAGGCAGGGCTCGGGCTGCTCGTGGGAGGATGTGATCCACTGGATGTTCTTGCCATGAAATGCGTCAATCAAAGGCAGAACTGCACCTGAACACGGCGAATCCCGCGTGTGGGGTGGCTGTCGTGGCTTGAAACAGCACCTCCACTGTAACCAAACACGGTGTCCACACCATGCTCCACGAGCATGTTGAAAATCACCTGCATGCAGGGAGGCATCCACCAGAAAACAAGAAGGCATCCTGTGTGCCAGCATGCATGCGCCTCTCCGCCAGTCATCTCCTGAAGCGGGGCGACCTTCTTAGAGTCTCATTCTCACACATGGCAGGCTCGCTTAACGGCCCAGACAGCTTCCTCATATTTCCTCACACAGAGCACTTTAGGCGCCTTGGAACCATGCCATCTGACATCCTGCAACCTGGCAGGGGACATGTGAAACCTCCGGTTGGAGCTGGGCCGCTGACTGGGGCTTCGAATCTCAGTCTACAGGTATTGAAACCGTGGTAGGGCGTACCATTTACCGTAGCTCGCAGCAAAAGCCAAACCACGGTTGGCTAAAAGTGCGGGACCAAGCCAAAGGTCTCAGATTCAAGAGCATGCTGTCAGGCTGTATTCGGGTAGCTGACAAAGGAAGTGGCCACATGGCGTCTCGATCATTTTCTGATCGAGTGCTATACTCTGCTGCCGGGATCAAGAAAGTGGAATGACGAGGATGTCAAGTTGAAATTAGTAAGACATGAGAATCTACTTTACGCTTTGCCGCATTGCAATGCCGTTGGGGTAAGGTGGACGTCTACACGAACCACATGCTCCCCTCTACTGCTTGCAAGAAACCACCGTTAGTCTTGCTGTCATCCCTGTGTCCCAATCACAATCCTTCCCAACTTGTCCCGCTGCAACGTGCCTCCCAAGCGGTAGGGCTGATGCTGGTGCCTGAGAGGTTCTGCACCAGCCACCGTGAACTGCAAACAAGCTTTCACGTTGATAAACGGCTTATCACGGGAACTGCAATCCAGTTTTGAAACTCAAAGTCCTATCACCGATACAAGCTCCGCACGAAAAATCTCGGAGCTCTTCGACCGAAGTGTCTCAGCACCTTCTCATCACGGTAAGAAGAAATCAAAAGTTGCAGGCAGCCAATCCGCACCTGCTGCAGCTACCATGCAATGCAGCTACTCAAAACCGGCAGACAACCTGCCTCTCGATGGCGAGCTACAGCTTGAAGAGTGGACCGCATGCAGCGCAGGACAGGACGATTCGACCCTGCGGGCAAAACTGAGCAACATCGGAAGCAATACAAGCATGAATATCACACAAACATGTGTGTATATATATATATATATATATATATATATTTACAACAACATGTGGCGATGTATTAACACATATGTGGCCATGACGGATCTGTATGTAGATGTAGAGGCATGTATAACACTTGCAGGATGCAGGCTGCCTCGGCGCACACCGGTACCTCAAGGCACACCCTTAAAGAAAAGCGATCTGCCCCGAGAGCGCGTGACCAGTCAGCAGTACATGAGTGGAGTCTTGAGCTCAGAAGTACCATACAGGAACTCGTTGGGGCACGCGAAGTGCCAAATCAATTGCCAAGCCACCCTTCCCACCTAGTGTTCTGCAACACTCTGTCTGAGCCGGAACAAAGCGGCATGCTTTCTTTCGAAAGAACTATTTGCTCATCGGTGACTCGCAGTGGGTTGTACGAGACACACATGTAGGCTTGTTGCATCTTAGTTCGTCGATTGGTCCACATGAGAGGATAGGTTCAGAAGAGAAGGCAGGAAAGTGTACCAGCTGGCAGAAACACTAGACTGTCATGGCCACAGGTGTAGGCTTCCGTTTAATGTATGCAAAGATGTTCCGTGTATGTTATGATATTTATACTACTTGTAATATGTCACACTGATCTATAACAGTTGCAGTGCGTCACACTGACATATAATAAAACAGAGTGAAGAACTAAAACATTAGAAAGGTGCCTGTCAAAACTCAAAGCTCTCCGGCTGGTGTTGCTTCGACAACAGCTTCTGTGAAGAGCCGTCCCTGCAACCATCCTTGGAAGCCGCCCCAGAACCCAACCCCCCGCAAGCACCCGGGCATTTGTCCGAACCCGGGCGGAACCGCCCCGGAACCCCTCCGGAACCTGACCTTGCCCCAATCTGCCCCAAACCTTATTTCGGCTGAAGACCCCAGAGCTCTCGCTGCTGGGAAAAACCAGTCAAGGTGAAACATCGGGAGAAAGTCAAGTCTCGACCATTTAAGACATCTTGCGGAGTAGCGGAGTAGCAAAAAGTATGAACTACGTGGCCTGGCCAGCGGGGCACTTTGTACCCCGGTTTAATCTTGTGCTACTGTAATGTTCTGAAGGAGTGCCCCGTGGGTCCCGTTTCTTAATGGGGCCCCTGTGTTGTGCGAAACAACGAATAAGCTGCCCTGCAACTTGCCCTGCAACCCGCCCGGAGCCCGGCCCTTAAACCCCTCGGAACCCTCCCCACAAACCCCCCAAACCTTGTCCCAAACCTTGTTTCGGCTGAAGACCCCAGAGCTTTCGCTGCTGGGGAAAGGCGAGTCTGCAAACCAATTATTTGCCCTGCGTTGAATCCATGAGGGGCCTTGTTTGTTGAATGCCTGAAAACGCGTGTCTTTTCCAATCTGCAAAGCGCTTCGTGCTGCAAACGTTGCCGGATGTCCTGGCCCGCGACCGACACAGGTGCGTGGGCGACATTTTTCTCGTGTTCGGTGGAGCCGTCCCCCTTTGGGTCGCAGGACCATGGGAAAATGGCCTGCATGTGCTTGCAACCAGCACCTGGACATTTGTTACCTTCGCTGTCATCCCATTGATAGGTTCAACACTAGAAGGTTCAACATGGCCAACGAGTCTAAGTCACGTGCTCTGAAGTGGGCAAAGCACGGGCACCATGGTTTTTCCATCGCCAGCATCGGAGAGGCGATAAGTCTAACAGAAGCAGAAGAGGCCACAGGTCGTTCTTCGAGCAGCAGTGGCACATCTTCTGCCAAAGGTGTCGGGCAGAGAGCAACCCGAAACATCGCAAAGAGCTGCTCTCCACGACACTCCTCGTCTTCCTAAAGACCGGATCCGGTTGGGAAGCTTGGGACCTGAAGCGGCCGCATCGGGCTGCTGGGTCCTCAGCTGAAGACCCGACACATCCGAATCCAGTCAAATCCAATGCAGGTGCGTTGTCTTGTCACGTTGCGAATTTCAAGTGAAACCGTATACAAACCGGACTCAACACCGCCATGACGGTTCGCAGAGGATCCAACGACAAAAACATGGTTTCCTGTGGCACAAGATTGTACCGACTGCTCGATGATGCGAGCGCCGAAATGGCAATGCAATCATCTACGAGTCGCTCATTCGTCACTACCACCAACGCAGCCAGTGGTCAGATTCCACCTTGCTGATTTGCAAGTAAGAACTACCCAGAGAAGAGTGCCAGAACGAACCAAGTGCAGAGAACCAAGTGCAGAGCAAATGATACGGGCAAACTTTTGCGTAGTAGACCTGATACGCAGCAACACCAGCACCAGCATGGGTGAGATTTTGGACGGCACGAGGTGGCCTTGAGAAAGGACCAGAAAACAAACGACCTCGTGCGGAACTCATATCGCATGCATGTTCAGCTCCCTGACACTTTCAGTTAATGTCACCGGGACTCCGACATCACCATCACCGACATCCAGGCGCCCCCAACACCAAGGCGACAGGAAGCCTGGAGATGTGCAGAATGCTGGATGAACTGCTTAGAGCATCAATATGTGACCTTCCGTGCAGGTATCCGAGAAGGAACTATGGCTCGCGCCCGCCAACACCGCAAAGCTGCTTGTGCGGCAGAGATGACCATGCTGATGAGGAGCTGAACAGATCAGTGGAATCAGACTGCAGTATAGTCACTCAAGCTGACACCGCGTGAATACAAGCACGGGGATGTGCTCGGGTTGGATCGGTCGGCCATGCTGAACCAAGCGAACCTTGCCTTGACTGTCGCCAGGCTCATGTCATTAAAGCTGTCCTGGTATGTGAGTGCCTTAGCACAGCACAAGGATTTGGGTGCGGTGTCCGAATGGCAACATCGCTAGCAGACCGCTCAGATCGGCTAAGCGCATGTCAACGAACGATCCCTGCAACCACAACGCCATGACATTTCCGACGAGCACCTGCAGCACCGCGATCTTGACCAGCAAGCTTCAACTCCATGCTTAGAGGCTTGATGCAATGCATCTCGTTCCACCCACAAGACCTACGAATGCTTGCTGTTCGAACCACTTTGCTCCCAAACCCATGAAGCCGAAGATGAGCATCCCAGTGCAAGCTGCCAGCCTTCGAAAGCAGCACCAGGGCGATGTGGGACTCCTCTTCCTCTTGAACTCTCTCCTGGCAAAGCCGCACTCCAAAGCATAAAATTTGTTCTGCCTGGCTGTGGAGCTGCGGCCTCCTCTTGGACCGCGTGAAGCTCGCTTTGTTGGAGATCACGCGACGTCTCAGGGCAGACCGTCGCTAAGGCTACGTGATGTGTGCTAACGCTGCTAGCACTTTGCACGGGATATTTCAATTTCCAAGCCCTTGACCACTTTGCCAAACTCGTAATCCTCACGGGCCTGAAAGATGCTCGCAGCGGCTCAAGCTTTCGACAACAGCGACATGGTCCCTGTGCCTGCGTGGCTCTGGCAGTCACGCTCAGCTTCGTTGTGTCGAAGACCCATCTTTTTTGCAGCGCCATCTCCTGTGGCTTTGAAATTTGCGCTGGTGCTATGCAGCACCAAAGTCATGCTAGACTTGCGCCAACTCTGCAACTGTCAATTTTCCGAACGCTGGCTACTTTGAAGCGATTTTGGGAGCAGCACGCTCACCAAGCTAGCATTGAAATCGCCGTCATGCAAAGCTTCGAGAAACCTTTGGGGCAAGACGAGACCGTGAGCTTGGATCGAAGTCGCCTCTCACGGACTCGCCACCCTGTTCTCGAGCAGATCCAATCGCTCCACACTGTGTCTAAAACTTAACTATGAAAAGTCGTCATCATCAGAGTTGTAGTCGCTGCCGTCTTCGCCATCCTTCTCTGTCCGATGGCCCAACCTCGCAGGCCCCCGGTCGCAAGCAGAGATCCTCCTAAAGCTTTAAATCAAAAGGAAAGCTGCAGCAGCTGCGACCATGCGGCATGTGACCACCACAGAGAGCAGCTGCCAGTCTTGCCAAGCCTGCGTGGAAGCAGGATCTACACAAGCACCGAGGGATGCCGTTAGTGCAGCCATGTCCACCACGAGACTCCGCCCGTGCAAACAGCTTTCCGGGAAAGTAACTGGAATGAACACCGTCATTGTGGATCTGACTGAGTGTGAAAATCCATGTACACTATGTAGGCATTTTTTGCGCGACAGTCTTGCATACTAAAAGACCCAGGCAGGCGGGCAGGGAGGAACAAACGGACAGACAAACACACGGGCAGGCAGGCAGGCATACTTACCTTGCAGGAGGATGTGGCTGACCATAGACCCAAAGTGAACTCAAAGTGCTCTCGTAGTACATGAGCACAACTTCAACACGACTCCTGGTGTGAAAGGTTCTCAATCAAGATCATGGTTCGCCCGTGGCCGGTGCACCTGTGTAACATGCTAACCGTATTCAAGTGTACAGTAATGTGCAAAGTTCGTTGTTCCTTTGGTCTTCTTTGTGTTCTTACTTTTTACCTCATGTACGGTATTTCCTTCGAGAAAAACCAGACCATAACATTCGGCGTGGCTTTCTAAACCGGAACCATCTGCACCACCATATGCATGTGTTGCGCGCATGACTCCGAAGACCCGCTGCACATTTGTACATCGTTCGTACCCTACTTCCAGTATGTACATGCGATCCCCCGTGCAGCCCGCACATCCAATGCCTGAAAGCCTGCAAAACCCTGTCAGTAACATTCATGGACACACGTAGTGAATCGTGCATACATGCATGCGTGCATGTGTGCACACCATACATGCGTACATACTACACACACTTATCTGCATACACACGCACGTGCAGATACATACATGCGCATCATGCTTCACTTCCGTTACTTAGAGACATGCCTACGTGACAAACATATACGTCTAAACCCTGTTATCTATATTGACCTACCTGCGTCCATCTATGCATGTATTCATATGCAATCCAGCATTCATGCATTGCAAGCATGCACGTATGTCATTCGGTTGAACGCTTGCGTGCATGCCTGCAGCGTGCATGCCTGCACACACGAAAAGACATAGAGAAACGGCTACTGTCATGCGAACTGTTCGGACCAAGGCACATCCAGGAAGTTCTGGACGGGGCGGATCTTCCAAAGTTTCCCACGTCTCGAGTGGAGCTTGGCTCCTTCTCAAGAACGGACCGACTCAGCGGACAAGTGCGGCGATCAGAGGCTCATATATGGCTCGCACGACTTGTAGGTTTAGCAGGCGAAAGCCGGAACAGCACTCCTGCCAGATATATGGTCCAGGATGGCACCTCACCGAAGTGTCAAAAGCAGACGCAGTTGTTCGCAAAATGCCTCCGTCGTGTGCGCGAGCTTGCCATCCGAGGCACGCATCTGGTGCAACCAGGGCTCATCAGCATAGCCGTCCCACCTTGAGCCACTTGGCAGCTGGCGATCCAGATTTGGAATGCACTCGAGCACTGAGATCGCTCAACAAATTCCCGAAACCCCAACCGGCCACAAGCCCTATTAACCTCAAGCTGCACGAGTTCTCGCCACTCTGAGGTCGCATCTCGGGATCGCCAGCTTTGAGGAGCAGCTGTGCGCCTGCCTCGATGGAAGAGGCCTGCTGCCATCGTCCTTGTTTCTGCGAAAGCATATGGATGCACCGTACGATGTCCATACCTCGCTACGCAATGCAACATGTATATCCCGCTCTCCGTGTGTGCATATGTACACATACATACATCTGAGAGTTCATACGTAATTACATGACCGCATCATTAACATGTTGAAGCCTCCGCATACAGGATACATTGTATGCATACATACATACATACATTCATACATCCTCAAAAGTGTTAGTATAGCAACGGAGTACTTGAACGTATGAGTGAATAAATGAATGAATGAACCAGAAAGGAAACAAGGAAAGAACGATCGCAGTGATTGCGTGTGCGTGTGTGCGGGCGGGATGGGAACCAATCAACGAAGTCACGAACGAGAAAACGAGCAAACGAACGAACCAACGACAAAACTAGCAAACGATCGAAAGAACGAACACTTGATCGAGCGATTGAGCGGGCGAACGAGCGAGTGAGCGATCACTGACCGAGTGAGCGAGCCAGCGAAAGAAACGAAACAATGGACCCATGGACTGATCGATGAACCAGCGGTTGCTTCTGATTCTAAATGTGTCTATTAACACTTGGCAAAAACACAGCAGGGCTCTGTGTTGTGTCGCTAGGGATCGAGCCATCTTCCAGATCCATCACTCTTCCGCCTCGGGCTGATGAAAATGGGGTGGTGCTTTTAGATTTGGTCCCTGCTGGGGGTCCCATGATCCTACATACGTAAACATGGAGGAGCCCCTGGTTGAGAACAGGCCCTACATCAAGGCGAGGCGCTCGAATCCTTTACTTGAACCACCATTTGACCACGCGGAGCAAAGGGATCATCGGAGCTCACAATGCGAAGACTCGCGTCCTGCAGCTGCTGAGCTGCAGCATACATCCATCGAGTAAGAAACCACACGCATGCATAAATTGCACATATGAGCTAGAGTCAGAGGGAGAGAGAGAGAGAGAGAAAGAGAGAGAGAGAGAGAGAGAGAAAAAGAGAGAGAGAGAGAGAGTCTACCTCGGATACATCGATGTACAATCGACCCATGTATGTAGCAGAAGTATCTACGCCATGCATGCCTGTTTACATGTACACATGCATGTAAGCATGTAGGCGGGCATGCATGTGTCCATGTGTGACTATATCCCTGCGGCCCTGGTAGAGCTGAAATCGAACACCCTCGCTTCGCTGGAAAGACGGGTCCTCACCGCCCTTGCCCATTGCTTTCAGCCTCAGCGCTTCGTTTTCTTAGAGACGCGTCGCGGCTGACAAGAACTGCTCCTGTCTTTGAGGCTTTGGAATCAGTGTTTCATTAGCTTGCACGACGATTGAGGAATCCATTCTTACAGCTTGTCCCACGGATCGGAAATGATGCAAACATGAGCCTCCCATTGAATACATGGCGTTGCATCATGAGCAACACGATGCTCAGCACGGGGCACAATTGTGGAACCTGCCTTCACGCGGACCCTCCGCGGAATGCCGTAGGGGCGTTGTGTGACTTGCAGTGCAGCAGGGTAAAGCTTCATCCACTTCTCCAGAAATAGCACCTTGTCGGAACCAAAGGAGTCAGAATGAAACTGAGCACCTCAAGCCTGCACACCAAGTGGCAGAGAGACTCATGATCGGGCTCATGAACCCCGGCCAAAACCTCACAAAACACTCTGGTTGTACACGAGACAGGGACGGGCTTCCCGAGAATCCCGAAAGCCGAGCCGCGGTGGGGCGCGCACTCGCTCGGTGACGTAAGACTCCAAGCTCCCGTACCAGACGGAGGTCAGGGTGACGTAAGGAGAGTACCTCTCGGGTCTTTCAGGGTCTGGCGCAGATTCACTTCTCACAGAGCAATACAGAGCATACATCGGGGCACCCGAGGTGCTCTTGCAGCAAGCTGCAGCGATTGCTGCAGGTGCGTGGCCCGACCAAGCAGCCAATCAAGCTGAATGCCTTCTAAAAGGCAGCAGAACAGGCTATGATTCTATGCGATTCTATGATGTGTTGACGAACAAACATCTCGAGAAAGCTTCGGCTCAGGCCGCACCTTCGGCCACCGGGCGCGCGTCACGATGATGCGATCACTCGTAAAAGTCAGCAGAGTGCCTCGACACGGCAAGAACTGCGGTCCGAAGTCATCACATTGAACTGCTGCGACTTTCAGGCCCAGCCGCTGTAGTTAAAGGGATCACCAAAGAAACCAAAGGCGTTGAAACGATGCTCCCAGATGTGCTGCTCGCCGTCGCAAAAGACTTCTTCCAGCGGGCAAACTCCTGCAGGCGTGCTGCACCGGGATCAGGACTCCAAAAACTGCGTCTGACATCATACATATAACTGCGTGCGGGCTGCAACTCAAAACCCCCGCCGCCACCTGCTATGTCGCCTCCACCATCACCCACTGGTCGAAGCCCTGGAACTTTGGCCGACCTTTGGGCCAATGTGCCGAAGGCATCGTACATCTCCAACGCCTGTCCGGAAAGGGAGCTAGGTCCGGGTGACTCCAACGACTGCCAAGAGCCGCAGGGTCGCCGCCTCGCCATGTTGTCCTGGATTCAGAAGGGCATGGAACAATTCAAGTGGGGCCAACATGAAAATGCAGCCAAGCGCAGCTAAGCGCAGCCAGGGCTCGAGTAACCTGGAGCAATCCAAACTTGCCACGGACAGTCACGGTGCCTCGTCTCCACGCCTTCCGAACACAAGCAATCCTTCGGAGGAACCCAAGTCCAACTGTGGCCCCAGCCTTCGAAAACCCGGAATGCAGACGATCTTCAAGAAGAGGACGTGCAGGCATGTCGAGCTGTGCAAGAGAGATCGCACCAACTTGGAAGCTATCCTCAGAACTCCAGTGCGGTCCATCAGGAGCAACCAGCAGCTCACTTCATCTCGGCGGCCAGTTGGATCGACGTCCCTCCGTACCATGCCGGGCAGAGAATAGC